CCCGGGCGCCCTGGATCAGCGTGCACCCCCCCATCCCGCCAGGCAGCCTGCTCCAGCATGTCCCCCCGTGCCCCCCCCCCCGGGCGCCCTGGATCAGCGTGCACCCCCCCATCCCGCCAGGCAGCCTGCTCCAGCATGTCCCCCCGTCCCCCCCCCCCGGGGCCGCCCTGGATCAGCGTGTGCCCCCACTTCTCCCCAGGGCGTCCTGGGTCAGCATGTCCCCCCGTCCCACCTCCCCGGGCACCCTGGGTCAGCGTGTGCCTCCCTCTCCCCGGCTCTCAGGTATGTCAAGAGCTACCTCCTGCCGGACAAATCCAACCAAGGCAAGCGCAAAACGGCTGTCAAGAAGCGGAGCCTGGACCCCATCTTCAACGAGACCCTCAAGGTAAGCGGGGCAGGGGGGTGAGGGCTGGGACTGGGGCAGGGTGTGGGCCCTTCCCCCTGCCCCCAGGGGAAAGTGGAGGGGCTTGGCCAGGAGCCGCTGGCCTCGCCGTTCTTAGTGACGCTGGCTCTCTGGGTAAGGGGCACTGAGGGGAGGACAGTGCAGAGGGCAGGGCGGGCTTCGGGAAGGCTGGAGAAGGGGGGTTGCTCTTAGGAAGGGGTCGGTGTCTGGCCCCCAGTAGCTGCTGGAGTCTTGGTCCTTTGGGCAGTGAAGCGTCCATGGACTGCATGGAGCTGAGCGCTGGCCTGGGAAGCAGGGGTGGGGGTACATTTTCCCCCCCCCGCCCCAAGGGAATCCACTCAGCACTGGGGGGGCAGGGTGGGGGGGGTGCTGCCGCGTAGGGCTGGGTTGCCCCTGAGCACTGCCCACTAGGCCCCGCTGTTCCCAGCATCTTCTCTCTCGCCCTCGTGCTGCAGTACAAGATCGAGCAGGCGGAGCTGCCGGGCCGGATCCTGAACCTGTCCGTCTGGCACCACGACGCCTTGGGGCGAAACCTCTTCATGGGGGAGGTCGAGGTCGAGCTCAGCTCCTGGGACTGGAGCAACACGGGCCCAGCGTGGTTCAACCTGCAGCCCAGGGTGAGGGACGGCCAGCAGACACCGGCTTCGTCTTTGCCCCGTCATCTCCACTGCCCTCCCCCCGCCACATCCGGCGGCTCCAGCCGCGGGCAGTGCCCTCGCTCTGGCCCAGGAATTCGCGTGTGACCTGCCGAGCGAGCCCAACTGCCAGCCCCCAGGAGCCTTGATGGGGCCCAAGCCCGATGAGCTTTAATTAAGACACCCCCCCGCCCCCGAGAACTGGCGCTGCCCACTGTCTTT